AGAAACTTTGACCAAACTATTATCACCGTCAAAGTTGGTGGAAAGGAACATCCCGAGTCTTTCAGCTGCCATCGCGAACTTTTGAGGAGATGCTCGACATACTTCAACACATGCTTAGAAGAGAAGAGCAGCTCGCCTTACAACTCCTCTAGTTCAACGCTTGAGCTAGAGGATACTAGTCCAGACGTCTTTGATGCATTTATGCTCTGGCTTTACACAGGATTTATCCCACATCACTTGATCGAGGGCGGCAAGGAAGTTCATCCTCCAACACATGCTATTAGCGTCAATGGAAACGACAACACCAGTGTTCCACCTACAGAGCAAGGTGAAGGTGACGATGTAGATACTGCTTCATGGGGCATCGCTCTGGACGACGAAACACCTGCAGATGGCGCATCAGCACCCGCCGAAGCAACGAACAGCCCAACAACAACTAGCGCAGAGAAAGTACAGGGGGAAGTTGAGGCTGAAAAGCCTCCAGTAGTACTGCCCCCTCGCAACCCTGCAGAGAAGCCCGAGATACCCAAGGAGACACTATGCCCATGCTGTTCACGACCCTACAAATGGAGGAGTTTGGAAGGATTCCTCGAGCGCCGTTTCATATCGCTCTATGTTTTCGCGCACAAATACTCGATTCCCAAACTAAGCCGCGCCGTCATTCTCGCATGGCAAACAAACGATGAGATTCTGCAAGTCATGCCCGACCACAGCAACGTCATTGCCGCATACGAGAGTCTCCCTCCAGACGCACCACTGTGCAGGTACTTTCTCGATATGTACTCTGTGTACTGGAACCCCGATCGCGATGATGAGCGCACCATTCCTCTGCGAAGCCACCTGCCACAAGCTTTCCTGTTCGAGCTGGTCACCATGCTAGCAAGAGGCGAGCGGCCAAAGATGGAAAAGGAATGGTGCGAGTTCCACGAGCACGAGAGTGAAGAAGAGAAGAAGGCCTGTCTGGATGATTTGGCCAAGGATCCTATTGCAAGCAAGGCGCTCCGACGCATCAAGGATAGCAAGGGCTGGAAGGGCCTAGTGCTCAAGAAGGGCAAGAGGTGATGAGTTCACGACAGTCTGTATACCAATAGTACATGGAGGAGTTATTATCATGACCGGCGTTTGGAACTCGGCTGCAGCACCATTCGCATTGCTGAGCGATTCATTCAATACAACATACTTTTGTTCGCTTTCTCAAGTCATGTGCGCACCACCACCACCATCTTTTTCTTGTTTGCAAACATGTGATTCCGCTTGCTAAAAATAGTTCGTAATCCTCCATCTATCCCCTTGAGATTTCGTGTTTAACCTCGTGTTTTTTTTTACACTTCACGCTGACTGGCGGGCCGGGAACGGCGGGGAAACACGAGATCCCATGATCAAAGAAGACGGATTCAGCTACGGCTATAGTCTTTGTCAGCACACCCACTGCAATTTCCATTCGTCTACACCCCAACTATCGATACTCGGTGCTGTGCGCCGTGGCGCGGAAAATACGATGTCAATTTCTTGGGTCAAGAACGCCACTTACCATTTCGAAACCTGGGGTGTGAGGCTAAGGCTTTTGGGCTTGAGCGGGAGGGTAAATAGACTGCTGTCAGCTTATTATTGGGAACAAAACTTTATGTCACTGGACCCTTGTGTGCTAGCTTTCTTTTCGTTACGGGCAAGCAAACGCTTCGATGGTTTGGGATTCATTACTTGCTTTCTGTGGGCCATTGATGGGAAATTCTGACAGAAGGGTGACTGAGGATTACATGATAGTAGTAACCTGTTCCTTTGCTGGATTATAGCTTACCACGAGACAATCCCCACAACTTTCCCAAAGCGATTCCAGGCCCGTATGTCTGTCACGCGCAGCGGAAAAGTATCGTGTTCTTTTTTTCAATAGTTCTTCTAGGAAAATCAATGCACCAAAGTATACGAAGGATGCGAGGGACACGCCGCCACGTCCGAAGTCAGCTTGCTTCCCCTCTGATTCCACTACGCATTTACGGGCCTATCAGACTTGAACTATGCAGCGGGATAATACTCGCCAGCTCACTTACCCATAGACTACTTCAATCTTAAAATAGACACCTCATAGGACGTCACACTATCCGCTCACATATATATATATAACCTACCTTTTCCAGCACCACATCATACCTCCACTCAACCCATCCATACATCCTCGATAACCCACTACTTCGACACACTCGCTCAACAACCTCATACACCTTGCAATCATGAAGACCCTCACCATCGTTCTATTCTCCCTCATGTCCCTCGCCTACGCCGGCGAGCCCGTGTGCCAGCAATGCGACTACCGCCCCGGCTACAATCTCTGCGACATCACGACTTCATGCACGTTTGTCTGGGGCCACGATGATCCGAGCACGCCTGCACCGTATTATTGTGCTTGTAGGGCTGGATATCGTATGTTCTCTCTCTCTTCTTCTTCCCTTTCCTGACACCCTCGCCTTGCCTTGCTGGTGCAAGAAGCGACAAAGTACCAAACGACTTGTTATGCTGGTGCTAACGCAACAAACAGGCGCAGACAACTGTGAGGCCGGCGACACGACCCAGCAGTTCCGTCTCCCCTGGTATGGAACTCCTGGCGGCGACCCGAGTCAGCAGGGTAGAGTGTTTGTAAAGCCTGGTGTGTCGTGTAATACGCTTTGTGATGATTATACGCTTGGCAAGGATGGGTGCAAGGCTGTGAAGGAGTTGGATTCTTGTTTGTAGAGGCGGGCTGGGTAGGAGGATGGATGTGGGATTTGAGGGTGTAATGGGTATTGGGGGATTGGGGAGGGGCTTGTATATATCATGAAAGTAGTAAGGAAATTATGATCGAGGTTGATGAGTGGTGTGATATTTTTGAAGTATGTAGTGTGTGATTGGTGGTGGTTGGTGATTCGAGCATGTTTGTGCGTAGCTTGTTGAATTGAAGGTGACTCGGTGACTGGTCAAAGAATCGAGTGACGGACTTGGACTCGCTTTCGATGTTGGCTGAATAACGTACATCCCTTTGTACCGGAACAACCGGTTTGACGGAACACTATTCTATAAGCAAGCTGATAGTAGGCAGAAGACCTGTTTTAAAGATATTCACAGGCTTCCATTATCTCCAATCGCATATATTCTACATATAACTAATCCTTAAATAGAAAAATACGTGGTGGTGCAGCTATAGGTCGTCAATCTGCTAGCGGCGACAATTCGTGCCTCAGCTAGCACCTCAGCATACGCACCAATTTCGCTCTAGATTTCATCTTCAAAAATATTTGGTAACGCTCTAGATATTTGTAGATATACGGCCTTAGCTAACGATGCGAAGGCAACACTACATAGAGAATTGCGCTCGGGCCTTGTTATGTAGCGCCAGACACCAGGTACCTATTCGGCACTAAGCCACGCACTTCCTCTGCCGCCTGCGCAACGAACGATTTCTTATGTTCCGCTCCATTCGTCGTCGCTGTGTCGGTTTGCATCAAGCGCAGGGCTGTCGGATGTAACAACGTCGCATACCTTGGTACGTACTACAAAAGCCCTGAACAGAAGTACTAGAGAAGAAAGACAAACAGTGCATAGAAAGGACAACGAGGAAAGCTGTATCTAGTCCCCTATAGCTTTGAAGCTGTTCAACTGGCACTATATTCCAACAATAGCTTCATACTTCTATCCCAGCGTCCAGGATCAAAGAAGAGTGCGTAGTAATCTCTCCCCGCTTTCTCTGCCGCGTATTGCAGCGCTGTTTTTCCAGACGCGTCCTTTGCATCTATCTCAATGCCGACAACATGGAGAAGATAATGCAAAGATTCCTTAGTAAGAGATCCGCGTATCGCAGAACAGTGCAAAATTGTCTTGCCTTCTAAGTCTTTCTGTGTTAAATCGACACCGTGTTCCTTTAGGATCTCGAAAATTTGAACGCTGCATTTCCCAGCAAAAGTGCATAGGTGTCCTAGGTTTTTTCCATTTCTGTCAAAAAACAAAGAGCTTCCTTTGACCGAAAGCAATTGTTGACAGACGTTGAGATCTGGTACATGCGTGAGTGGTTGTTCAAAGTAGCTCGCCAACGGTGGGTTGCCAGATGCGTCCAACTCTGAACCACCTACCCCTTTGTCGAGCAGTAACTGTATTGTCTCATGCCGGACTATAAAGCTCGTAGAAACCAGGTGGTGGAGCGAGTTTCTACCATGATTATCCTTCGACGCCACCAGGCCTGGTCTTGTTGCCGGAGCAGTTTCTAGAAGAACACTGATTGTTTCATGGTTTCTATTTTGTGCAGCGTAGTGAAGAGCATTGAGCCCTTCATTGTCCGTTAGGGCAGGATCAACTCCCAAGGAAATTAGAATAGCAACCGCGTCGTGGTTGCCAGCTTGACTAGCAAGGTGCAGTGCGTTTTGCTGCTACAAGTTTCTTTCGAACGGATTCGCTTCTCTATATATTAGTTTCTGAATTATCGACACACTTCCAGGTTTTCCATAACCAACACAGTGCAAAAGATGCTTATGTTGACAGTCTCTGATCGTCATACTGGTCCTAGCATCTGCGAGCAGAGCATCAAGCACACCTTCGCGATGCATTGCTATTTCTGCAATAGATGCATCAATGTCGTCTTCTTCAAATTCCACCAAATCCCGAATGACTTCTATCCTGAAGTCTTGGTTGGTCCAATCGTCGTCATATTCTGGTCCATGCAGGGTTTTACGCAACGTGAGATGCATCGGGGACTCGTTGTATCCGGACAAAGCGTTCGGATCAGCGCCACACTCAAGAAGGAACTTGGTCATGACTAAATTGCCAGTCAAAGCCGCAAAGTGTAGAGGTGTCAGGCCAGCTGAAATTCCCGAGGTGTCGGTCTTCGCAGCGTTCCGAGACCGCGACTTTCGATAGACACAGACATCAATGGACAAACCCTTGTCAAGAAGCAATCTTATTATAGATTTGTGGCCTTGCTTGACGCATTAATGCATTGGAGTCATGTTGTTGATATCGATCGTGTTTGCTGGAGCGCCTCATGAAAGCAGAAGGTCGATAAGACCAAGGTTACAATTCGCGCTGTTAGTAGCATAATGCAAAACGCTTTTTCCCTGGCTATCGTGTCGCGAGACATCAGCGCCGTTGTTGAGTAGGAGCTCAACAATAGCTGTATGGTTCCCAGCTACAGCCGCCTGCAGTGCGTTGCCGTACTTTCCGCCCTGCGCGTTGACTTCAGCGCCCTTGTCGAGCAGCAGCTTCACGATTCTTTGATGTCCAAGTTCTGCTGCAAGATATAGGGGAGTCTGGCCCTCACTATCTCTTCTTTCTAATATGAGTCCTATCTCTCCTACTTGATTTAGGAGTAGAGTCTCTAATACAATGGCTAATCCGAAACGAGCTGTAAGATGCAATCCTGTGCTGTCCTTGGGATATTTCTGGCTATACCCCTGATATGTGTATTCTGATCGTAAGAGTACCTGCACAGCGCAAGAAACTAATTCCTTGCAGGAGAGAAATGAGCAGGCTAGCTCACATATCTCACCTTCCGCTGTCAATGCATGCTCTCCCCAGTGCTTGGCAGTATAGCCTAAGAATTGACTTCCTCGAAGCCTCTCTTCAAATTCTTCGTCAGAGGAGCAGCTCCCAGTTTCGAATGTGCTAAATGATAGGTACGTGAGACATGTCGAGGCTATATGTAGTTGAGCGCCTGGATTCCATACATCTCGGATACGTTCGAAGTATTCTTGGGTGGTGTAATGCACAAGACGGATGACAGCGCTTTCTTGGTCAACGACGACCAGTCCAGCACACACGGATAATAGATCTTCAACATCAGGTATGTTCTCGGGATCGAGCCCTGCCTCATTTGGCTCTACTGCCAGAGCACAGCAGATCTCTGTCGTGGTAAGCGGCCGTTTCGCATACGTGATCCACGACAGTACCCTTTTAGCCAGCTCTTTATCTCCGTCTAGTTGGCCATTTATGCGTTGAATGGCCTCGCTGTAGGCGTCATCAATCGTAACTGAGCCCTTCAAGAGGCGGCCTAATGTCGACTTTACTTCTTTTACTGTTCGCTTGTCTACGAGTGAGTCTGTATGTAGGCGGGCAAGAAGAAACCTAGACGCCCGTAAGTTGGTGTTATCTAACATAAATAAACAGATAACATACATACCATCTACCGCCTCTACAAGTTTGTCTTCCATCATGGCCTGCAGCGCAGGGTCACGCTGAATGCATCTGTGCAGTCGGTGCGTCTGGCCGGCTACATAACGCCTCACGTCATCATCGCTAGCTCGTATTTCTAGGTTCATCTCTGCTTGAAACTCAGCTTCAATCTCTGGTATAAATCGTGCCGTGGCCATGATGCGAACATCTTGTCCTATTTGTAAGTCTTTGAGTCTAGCCAGGAGCTGACTACGAGTGCCGTCATTATCTCGACATTCGTCCAGAGCGTCGATCACAAGATAGACTGTAGAAAACTTTGCAATGACTTCTTGAAGGGCGCTGAATATCTCCTCGATTTTCGGCTTCATGCCAAGGTGGTGATGCTTCTTGTGCAGTCGTTCTACAGGCTCCAGCGCCCACGGTCGACCTTGCACCAGCTGCTTAACGATGGCTGCCAGCATGCTAGAGGCGTCCTGTTCTATCTGCTCTTGGTAGTTGCAGTACACGTATGCAACTCCTATCGAGCTGCTCTGTGTACGTGTATAGTGCAACAGGTGGTCGATCGCGATCGCAGCCACCATCGTCTTGCCGGCGCCAGGAATCCCTGGGCAGAAGAGTGTACCTTTCGGCTCACCCAGCCACTTTGCGAACTCGGGCGCTCTAAGAAACCACTGACACGTCCCTTCTTGTCTGTGACCGATGATGTCTGATTGCCGGGCGGGGTAGTTCAAAGGCGAGATCCATTCTACTATCTTGCTATGCTTTGCATCGTCTTGAGTATCTTGGTATAGTTTGCTTCTACGTGTAAGCGAAGTAACATTATAGCGCTACGAAAAGACTTACAAGTGGTCCATCTGTAACGCGATCAATACGTGTGTTTTCAAACGCTCTATTCGATCCAGTATGCTAGCAATCTCCTCCTTCTTAAACTTCCATACTAGCGCTTCGCCGACCTTCTTCAATCGACCCCCGTCTGTTATCTTATTCTGCAGCTCTTCAAGCGCCTGCTTGAACTGGTCAAGTGGCCCGTTAGGGGATGCGAGAGCTTCGACAGCAGTATTCCGTGGCCGGTTAGGGTCCCCATTTTGAACGTGATCTAGTAGTTTACAAAAAAGATTACGGGTATTTGATATTTCAGCTTCGCAGTGCGTGCGGTCTTTTGGCGCATCGTTGACATCGCTCAGATATGTGAGAATCTTAGCGGAGAGCTGGATTACTGCGATTATGCTGGCTGTGACGCTGAGCGGATCCATACTTAGACAGGATTTACGGACAAAAAAAGTGCAGATGAAGAGCTACCAGAGAGGAGAGCGGCATCTTATAGGCAGCAGAGTTGCTAGTGTCTGGGCGAAGGGTAGCCTTGCTGCGGTGGAACAGCTGCAATGCAACATGTGTTGTGCTGCGCCACTTCTTATTCATAAGATCCATTGCTACGTAGGTGCAACCATGCAGCAGGTTGGCCACCTACCAGATGCCTTTTTTATGTCGCATTTAAGGGCACAAAACTAACTTTTCTTAGATAGCAGATTTATGGTTATGTTACATAGACGTGGCAAGCCTTGTCTAGCGATGCCTTGTGGTAAATGATTCATGAACGTTAGCTTCCGTCGACAACAAACGCTCTACAGCATTGCAGCTTCGCAGGCATTTCATAGAACCACTCAATACAGAACATGTTATAGTCATTTACATCAAAAGGATAAATTATGTTTAGTAAGAGACAAGGCTTTACGCGAGATCAGCAACTGTGCTATAAGGCGGGTATAGATTTCGAATACAAATACGCTAACCTGTAGAGAGAGAGCTAGAATAGCGCCTTGAAGCGTTCCTATATTGACGTAAATCAAAAATAGAATTAAGGTTGCTTTAAAATAGCATTTTTGCTTACATTTTAACAAATATTGTTTTTCTACCTGTTGGGAGGGACGTTAGAGGTTGTTCTCTCGAAGACCAAAAGATCTCTTTGAATAACCAACAAGTTAGAAACAGATGTTCAAGTACGCACCGATATCCTGGGTAGGAAATAGCTTGTGTTATTTGTATTCTCACATCCATCAGACGAGAAACCTAAGTCTGTCAGAACTGTTCACTGATTTGGTCCACGTTCAAGTCAAATACAGTAGGAATATTGATAGTACCTTGCTTGTTCTTCCAATCGGTCACGTACACAAATCTCTGTATGTGCTTGAAGCTTGAATAGTCCGTTTCACTGCAACCACTAAACTGCTTTAGGTATCAACATAGTGAAAGCAAACGCTATTCTCAGAACAGTGCTCGACAACAGTACACAAAGTACCTTGTTTACTTAACTTCGCCTTCTATATCACCACCATCATATCACTCTCAAATAAAATATCCACATCTACAACCCAGTTACCTTCCCTCATCACAGTACGATATACCATTGACCTGGGAAACCACCTCGCACAACTACAGCCATGGCATATGGGCTTGAAGACCGCGATGCGGTCGACGAGCTATTCTCTCTCTCACTCGAGGATCACCTCACACCAACTCAACCCGAAAGGCTACGAATGCCTTCCCCACCAATTATGCGTCCACTGCGAGGTGACGACACTTCCCCCCAACCCAGCAGGCTTCGGCTTCCTTCGCCACCACCAACAAAGCCCACCAAGGACAAGTCTGCACCTATATATTCCGACTCCGACACCACCTCGTCACTCTCCTCAACCCCCTCATCTCCAGACTTATCTCCAGTCCTATCCCCAGCCGGACCCGAAACCCCCTCTGCCCTCTCACCCTCCGATCAAGCCGCCCTCCTAACCCGCATCCACTCCGGCCTATCCTACACAGCAACCCAAAAATCCCTCAACCTCCCAATCACCCAAACAACCCGCTTCTCCCTCTGCCCCCAGTACCCAACCCACCTCCCAGCCCTAACCCTGCTCCGCAAACACGCCATCCTCATATCCATCTCCCCCACCCACGAACTCTACGAGCTAGGCATTCCGCGGCCAGACTGGGTGCAAGAAGGCGCTATAACAGGTATTCACGACGCGCAGTGGTGGATGGGGAAGAGTAGGGCGGAGATTAAGGCGGGGCCGTGGGCAGACGAGGCGGATGTCAAGGTTGCGGAGGCGCGGATGAGGGGGGTGGAGACGAGGAAGAAGAAGAGGAGGGGGAAGGGGGAGAGGGAGAGGGAGTGGAAGTTGAGGGAGGGGGTTAGGCGGGCGGAGGAGGGGGAGGGGAGTGAGGATGACGAGCATGAGAAAATGGAGGACGAAGAAGAAGAAGGGGAGGAGGATGAAGCGGACGAGGGGAAGACAATGGAGGGAGTTCTATATGGGAGTTTGGAACTTGCGACGACTTCTACGAAGCGTTTGAGGAGCCAGGTTGGTTCGACGTCTTCGCCATCTTCGAGGAAGTTGAGGAGTCCGGGTGGTTCAGAGTCTTCCCCTTCTTCGAGGGTCTTGAGGATTCGCAAACTGTGAAGAGAGCAAATGACATGTCTCTTGGTTGTGTTTTGCATGTGGGGTTAGTTAAGTCACTAGGAAATTTGCCTTAGGAGTAAAGTGCAGGTAAATGGCGTTAAAGTTCACGGTCATCAAGTGTAAGATAAAAACAAAAGAACTGAGAAGTCGCTTCTGTTCAAGTGCAAAAGTCATACAAAAGTCAAGTCAAGTCCAAGTGTTTGAAAAGTCAATGAGCTTTGTATTTCTTAATATATACAAGCGCAGCACCGCTGCCTAAGAAGGTATAATACTTATATGCAAACAAAAAGAATCAGGCCAGACACTGCAAAAAATAGTCCAACCATCAGTTTTTTTCGAAATTCCAGAAGCAAACGACCCCCCTTCTTCGTTTCAACATCAGAAAACTGTCATGTCTTTGCTTCGAAGAATTTCCAGAAACCCATCCACATTTTTACTTGCGGAGAGACTGGCGGAAAGCACGGCTACCGCGCCTGGCTTTCTTGCCACCGTTGCAAGGACGCTTGCTGGTGGCAGGAGTAGCAGGGGATGGGGTAGCAGGAGTAGGCTTGGGAGCCTCCTCAGTGGGGTAATCATCACCAGCAGGGTAATCACCTCCAGCAGGGTAGTCATCGGAAGGAGCCTGCTCAACAGGGGCGCTGCTGGGCTGGGTGACCGGGACACCGGCAGGCTGCTCAACAGGGGTAGCAGGCTGAGAAGGCTGGGGCTTGGGAGCAGGAGGAGCAGGAGTAGCCTGGGGCTTGGTGGCAGCAGCAGAGGGAGAGGGAGAGGAAGAAGGCGAGGTAGCAGGAGACTGAGCACCGCCGCTGTTACCGCCAGTCCAAACAGTCTGCGAGGGGAAGGGGAAGTCCTTGTATCCGCCCCAGACGCTGAAGTTCCAGGAGGGATCCGTCTTCTTGTAGCCACCGGGGAACTTGATCATGGGGCCTGGGACGCCGGCGCCGTCGCCGGTAACCTTGATCTGGGCGCACCCGTAGTAGAACTCGGCTTGGCCATCGTGGGCGCCGTGGACACCGACGTGCTGGGAGCGGACGAGGTATTCACCGGGAGGGGTGCCGATAGGAATATCGAATTCAACGTTGTTCTTGTCCCAGCTGCACCAGGCGTCCCCCTTGATGTCTCCCTTGGTGCAGAGACCGGCTTGCTTGATCAGGAACCAGTCACCGTCGCCCTCGTACTCCTTGACGGAGCCGGGAGCCTTGGACATGTGGACATGGATTGGGCCTGGGTGCCTCATGGTGGCGGCGACACCGAGCTTCATGGCGAGCTTGGTTCCGGGCTTGACCTCAGCAACGCCGGTGCGGCTGGCGGAGGCGAAAGCACCCTTGTTGCAGCGGAAGTCGGTGTCATCGGGGGTGATGTTGTCGAGAGGGTTCTTCCACTTGGTGGGGTTGTACTTGATAGAACGAGTGTTCTCACGAACGAACTCATAAGGCTTGGTCTCCTTGCCATCGATGACAAGAAGCTCGAAGAAGTAGTGGGCGGAGGCGATCTGCGCAATGGCAGCAGCGGCGAGGAGTGAAAGCTTCATGTTGAGGTGAGGTTAAGATTGAGGTTGGTGTTGTTGTTTGTCGTTGTTTGAACTTGGACTGGAAAGTGAAAAGAATTGTATGGAAGGACTAGCCTTGAGAAACGAATGAAGTAGCGAAAGACTGTGGAGAAGCGAAAGAAGGTTGGCAGTGAAGTGCTGGTGAGGCATTAGGGACGTTCTACACGACTTCTTATGTATCCCGTCACTTGCCTCTGTTCAACGCCTCATTCAAGCTCACTAACTCTTTCCGGTGCCCATGCACACCAACCCGCCCGTCGGTGTCGAGCACTTCTTCACTATGGTGCCTTAGACGCATGAGGTTTTGTTTCCTTGGCGGTAATCTCGACCCGCCGTGCCCGCTTGTCTGTGGCGAAGCGAGATGACAACATGGGCCGTGGGTGCTGCCTGTAGTGGTGTTCGGTACCTTGGCACCTGTTTAGCGGAACCAGGTCACCGGGGAGCAGAAAATGCCAGGCCCGTCACTGTTTCAAACAGCCTTTCTGGCGTTCAGTTACTTGGCGTTCGGGGCGTCTGTCACTTGTGAAGATAGTGTAAGCCGTTACACACGCCTCCAAACGTCTATGCGTCACCGAGCAGACTGCGGAATAAGGCGTTTCTGAGGCTTAATGGGCCCATCTGTCCAAACTAGGCTTGTTTGTACGAGGAAACACGCGATGTTGTTTTCCACCAGTCAGTTTTGTTTCGTGGGGCGAGCAATTGACCAAGCATTTTTCCCATACGTGCAACGTTTGATGCTACGAAATGACGGGGATAACGCATTACAACCACTTACCAGCAACCTGGCCGAGCGGATTCGGGTTGCACGACGGTATTGCACAGCATCACCGAGCCTCTACATGGTGTTCAACGCCCTTCGTATGCGCGCGCATGGGTGTGTGATAGCAGGGGAAAGAGATTGGACAACTTCAAGCACAACGGGGGATAGAGGAATAAGATGAGCACTGGACATAAGCATGAGCATACATCAAAAGCCTTATGTAGTCACTTTGTTATAGGCATCTATAGAAGATTTGCGATGCCCTTGAGCACGATTGAGTTATTTGGAGCTGTTAAGACGCCCTCTGCAAGCAACTGGAGCAGTGTGCAGCGATGAGGCCCAAAGGGTGGCCGCTTGGGTTTCTCGGTTTGGCAGGCGCGCGACTCCTGGATCCGAGCCGGCACGCTAGCCCGGCCGCTAGCGCCGCCCCACGTTGTCCAAAGTGGGTGCGCGTCTAGAACAATAGTATTTAGCGTGTTTCCGACCCCGTAGCTTGTTTCAGAGCCTGTGCTTGGCAAAACATCTGCCGAATACAGACAGACAGACAGACGTTTTGCAGTTCATCTCAGATTCAGGTCCAGCCGTGTCAGCGGAGGAGAACGGTGTGCCAAGCTGAAGCTGACAGGCCGGGTAGACCGCGATTACAGTATCGACGGGAGGCACCCAAAGGCATGTAGACGGGCTAGCAGCGGGTTGAGTAAGATCAAGCACATGGTTTCGTACAACTTCTATCCGGACATACACGGCAGAACAAGCAGTCAGAGCCAAGAAAATAGATTGCTGTTTGATAGGCTTGATTCATGCAAGATAGACATGTTGTGTGGAGTGCAGGATCCCATGCATTGCACCCACTTGTCGTCCTCTTCTGTAGCCAATCCGAAAGGCACTCTCGTCGCGTAAACCTACCCTCGAGTGGTGGAAGATACGGGTGACGGGACGTGCAGGTGCTTGGCATCAACAGATCCTATATTGACGGCGTACAGATAAAAAAGGCGCCACAACGCACTGACCTGCGAGGCGAGCATCGATGCTGTATGGACGGAAATAGTAAATGCACACTGAAGGGTTTTACAGTATCAAGTCTTGGTATTGCATCATTTACGGCCGGACTGCGTATCGTGAACGGCAGTATTTGTGTCGTATGTTCTAGGCTATGCTGTTAGTAGCCCCCCGAGGTATATCTCATGTCGTCTCATTAGAGTTGTGTATGATTGCATTTGGGAACAAGTCTCTGGAGTATCACGCCACTCTCTCCTTTTGAAAAAAACGGCCCAAAACGAAAATCGTTGAGTAGCAAAAAGAAAAAAAGGAGAAGAGAATACACGACAGAACCCGATCAGTTCCTTAATCTTGCATCCATCACTACTGTTTCTCGGCTCCAGTAGAATAAGCAATCAAGAGCAATACCGCTTTTCTGCATTAACCATTTTCCCGTTACTCAAAAACACCTACTAATGCATCGTAATTCAACAGAACATCTATCCAGTTCAACAACAACTAACGTTTACTCGTTATCCTTCTCCGCCTTCATCTCCCTCCATGCCTCCTCCAGTTTCTTCACCTTCTCAACGCCCTTCTTGTTCCTCACGCTATTTTCCCATTCTGCCCATTTCTTGAACACGCCCCTGATCCTCGACGACTTGCCCACCTTAGTCATCCTCTCGAACAAATCCCGGACCTTGTCAGACTCGCCGTGGCTCTGCTCAAGCATCAGATACATGTCCCATACATCTCCCTTCTTGGCAAAAGTGTCGACGAGACCCTCGAAGATGGTGCGGCCGCGCTCGGTATCGCCATTGGGCGACTTGAATTCTAGTGCGGCAAACTTTTGAGTAAGATACCGGTGTTGAGGGGCTGCAACAGATTGTGTGGCACGTTGGAGAAGGGCGCGGGCTCGAGCTGGGGAGGGTGGCTGGATAACGTCCATAAGAAATGCGGCGTAGGAAAGCCAGAACTTCGGGTCGGCTGTGAACGACTTGTTCTTCATCATGGACTGATAAAGCTCATCTGCTTTCTATCATGGTGTTAGCAAAACCTGCGAAAGATGGTCAGGAATCGTAGATACTTACGTCAATCTTGCCCGATGAAATGTAAATCTTGATCATGCGCTCGTGGATTTCGCGGTCATCATTGTTTTGGCATGCCTCCTTGAAGACGGCGTTGATTGCGTCGTCACTGGAGAAGTCATTTTCCAAGTGCAGCAAGGCAGTCCAGACGTCAAGCTTCTCCTTCTCCTCTCGCGGATTGATGGTGACCAGTGCACGACGGGCAATCTGGCGCGCCTTCTCAATCTCATTGAGCTCGCGCTGGAACACCATATAGCGTACCCACAGCTCGGCGCTGTTAGGCTGTCCAAGGAGTAAGCGCTCATAATCTGCGACAGACTGAGGGCCATAGGCATCAAGGTCACCAGTGCGATCCTCCTTGATGGTGGCCTTCTTGCTCTTCTTTTTCTTTTTTGGAGCATCATCCTCGGACTCGGATTCAGCCCCGCCCTTTTGCTGATCAAAGTCGAGGGTGGCACCCGTCCAGTCGAAGCCAGAAGTGCTGAGGCTCTTTGCAGTTGCCTTTGACTCGTCGTTTTCAGACTCGTCTTCGGAGCTGTCTGCATCGGCAAGCTCGATATCATCATCGCTTTCTGCGCTCTTAACGCTCCTCATATCAACATCGTTGTCGAGCTTAACTCCTCCCTCCGAATCGTCATCCTCCGATTGCTCGACATCCGAGACGTCCTCCATCTCCTCATCTTCGCCTTTGCCTTCACCTTTCACCTGTGAATACTTCAACGTAAAGCTGACCTTCCTCGACTTGGGGTCAACCTTGATGACTTTAGCCTTGACAACATCATCCTTCTTGTACATGTCCTTGAGCTTCTCCTTGTCAACGACAGCATCTGCTATTTGAGAGATGTGGCAAAGACCGCTGACATTGTTCGAGTTGTCGACAATGAGGAAGACACCATAGTCCTCCACATGCCTGACCTTGGCACTGACGATTTGGCCAATCTTTAGAGTAGCAAATTCCAAGGGCTCGACGTAGTCTGTCTTAATGATTGAAGTCTTCAAACTCAGCTGTGGGTTACGTTGATCTTCCTTGTTCGAGATGACCTTGCCGGTCACGAGCTGATCCACATGGAATACACTCTTCCAGTCTTTAATATACTCGTCCGAAAGATGACTGACGCGGACGTAGGCTTCAACATGTGGACCTAGACGGACGTAGACACCGTTGTTTGCAATGTGCTTGACGAAGCCACGGACGACTTGGTTCACTTTGAGCTGTGTACGGTCGGTGATCTCGGGATCCTTGACTGGCAATGAAGAGCTCAGGACCCTGGAAGGTCTGGCCGACAATCCTAGTTTCTTGTTTGGAATGTCAATGTCAATAACGCACACTCGCAAGACATCGCCAGCTACAAAGTTCTTCGGCTGAGCTTTGTCGTAGTCATCTGCCAACTGCTCCATGAAGATGGGTGCAGCGATGCTTTCGTTGATTTGGACAACAATTGATGCATCATGCAGCTTGGTCACACGTGCAGGTAGGACGTGACCGACTTTCAGGTCTTGGAGAGACAGTGATTTTCCGGTCACTGTAGATGCAGCTGTCAAGTCTAGTTTTCCATTCGCAGCATCCACTGTCTTTACGCGGACCTTGAGAGCAGAACCCACAGGAAAGTTCTTCTCGACATCAGATAGCTTCTCAAGATCGTCAGTCAGGTCGAAGAAGTCGATGCGCCCGCGGATATTGGCTGAGATGTTCACCCAGACATGGCGGTCGGCAATGTTGTTGATGAAAGCGATGTAAGACGAGCCGGTTATAACTTTGTCGAGGCTCAACACATCCGCTTCTGACTTGATCTCCTCCGTCTTTGCAGTCATTTCGTATGTTGTCGTCTTATTGCTTGACCGAGATGTGATCGGGAGGAAACGGAAATTGCGAGGATCGTGCCTTCCCAAAACCCGAGCCTGAATCGTATCGTTCATCTTGAAGTGTGCAGTTGGTCGCTTCTTGTCGGGAATGCTATCCCAGTTTTCAAACAGTTCCGATACAGAAATGCGACCGGGAACATTTGCGGCAAGCTCAACGTTGAGTTGTGTGTCCTTGACTGACCGGACACGGACGGTCATCAGAGTACCAAACTTGATGTCGTCGGTAGATGTCATGTTAGGGTCCACTGGATCAACCAGAGGCTCTGCTACCTTTACTGGAGGGGCAGCAGCAGCCTTTGTTGAAGCAGCTTCAGCTTCAGATTTCATCGATAGCCAAAAGAGCCCCTTTCCAACATCTACATGCGTAACTCGGGCAGTGATGGATTGGTCCTTGCGGAGGCCAAAGTCGGGCGCCGCGGCCATGTCTTCTGGTAACTGCGATTTGAACAGTGCAC